AAGTTTTAGTTTACCAAACACTTTTTTTAACTTACCCGGAAAAAAAATCCCACTTTTTTTTCAGAAAATATTTTTGTTTTCGGTAAAAAAAAAAATTCTCTTGTACCGAACGCTCCCTAAGTGTCAAAGAGCCCAATCAAGAAACAATTTTCTAATTTTTATTATTGTTATTTTTTAATAGTAGATAGTAACGACGATAAGTTACTCCCAATATTAACGATCATATGACACCAGTAACATGCCTATGATTTCAAAAGATAGATAAAGATCCACACAAAAAATCACTTACAAAAAGACACTCACATAAATAAGCTCTAGATGATAGGGAATACCCGTGTGAGGAATGACCACCAAACAAAAACAGTCACATATAAGCTCAACTCGTTTAATAGCATGAGGCCAAGTTAATATGTACAACTAAATGGTGTAGAAGGAATTTTGGTGGCCTCTTAAGCAAGAAACATTTTCATTTTGTCTGACTTGAATATAAAATAATAGAAGAATAATATGTTGTGTATTGATCTGTGTCAAGGAGTTACAATATATAGAGACCCTAATGGGCTTAAGTGTAAGGCCCAAACCTAATCCTAATACAGTCAGACTATTTACGGATAAGACAGAATCCAATCATATCTAATCAAATCTAATCATATCATATCTAATATTCTAACACTCCCCCTCAAGCTGGTGCATATATATTATGAGCACCAAGCTTGTTACAAATGTATTCAACCCGAGGACCTCTAAGAGCTTTAGTGAAAACATCTGCTAGTTGATTAGATGAGTTGACAAAAGCTGTCTTGATTTCTCCTGACTGAATCTTTTCCCGAATGAAGTGACAATCAATCTCTATATGTTTGGTCCTCTCATGAAAAACAGGATTAGAGGATATATGTAGTGCAGCTTGATTATCACAGATGAGTGTCATGGGTTGTTTCTGTTCACAAAGATGAAGCTCCTGAATCAACTGCTTTAACCAGATCAACTCACAGGTAGTATTTGCCATTGCACGATACTCAGCTTCTGCACTAGAACGGGAAACAACAGGTTGTTTCTTGCTTTTCCATGAGATTAAGTTTCCTCCGAAGAAGACACAATAACCAGAAGTATAGCGTCTGTCCGAGGGTGATCCTGCCCAATCGGCATCTGAGTAACCACAAATTTCTGTATTTCCCTGATCCGAATACAACAAACCTTTTCCTGGTGCTCCTTTGATGTATCGGAGGATCCTCACAGCAGCATCCCAATGTGAATCACAAGGGGAATCAAGGAACTGACTGGCCGTACTGACAGCGAAAGAAATATCTGGCCTAGTCACAGTAAGATAATTGAGCTTCCCAATTAGCCTCCGATAACGTCCAGGATCAGATAACGGCTCCCCCTGTCCGGGTAATAACTTGACATTAGGATCCATAGGTGTATCAACTGGTTTACTCCCCAACATACCAGTTTCTTCTAGGATATCCAAGGCATATTTCCTTTGACAGATAGAAATGCCCTGTCTTGATTGCGCCACCTCAATTCCCAAGAAGTAACGCAGCTTCCCAAGGTCCTTTGTTTGAAATGTACTAAACAAATGCTGTTTTAACTGACGAATTCCGTCTTGATCACTTCCGGTGAGAATGATGTCGTCAACATAGACTAACAAATAGATACACTTATCAGGAGATGTAATCCTATAAAACACAGAATGGTCAACTTTACTGCGGATTAAGCCAAACGCCTGAACAGCAGAACTGAAACGACTGAACCATGCTCGAGGAGACTGCTTGAGACCATATAAGGATTTCCGAAGACGACACACCTTTCCAGACTCCCCCTGAGCAACAAAACCAGGTGGTTGCTCCATGTAAACTTCTTCTTGTAAATCACCATGAAGAAAGGCATTTTTGATGTCAAGTTGAAGGAGTGGCCAGTGACGAACAGCAGCAAGGGTAAGAAAGAGGCGGACTGACGCCATCTTAGCGACCGGAGAAAATGTATCGCTATAATCAAGGCCAAAGATTTGGGTAAAACCCTTGGCAACTAAACGTGCCTTGAGACGATCAATATGGCCATCAGGTCCAACTTTCACAGTAAAAACCCAGCGACAACCAACTATAGACTTCTCTGGAGGAGCAGAAACAAGGTCCCAAGTGCCATTGGAATGAAGTGCAGTCATCTCATCAAGCATTGCTTGACGCCACCCTGGATGGGAAAGTGCTTCACCTGTGGTCTTAGGAATAGAAATAGAAGAAAGACTAGAAACAACGGTGAAATGAGGTGAAGAAAGACGGTCATAACTCAAAAAGGTATAAAGAGGATAAGGGTTACGAGTAGTACGTGTACCTTTTCTTTGAGCAATGAGAAGAGTCTCTGATGAAGGATCCGGAGGGGAAGAAGCAACAGCAGTGGGCGATGAGTCAGCAAGAGTCGAGTCGACATGAGGCACAGTTTTGCGACGCTGATAGGTGAGAAGTGGACGGTCCTCAGGTATAGAAGCAATAGGTTGCTCATCTGGAATAGAAGCACCTGCAGCTGGCAAAGACAAGTCAAGAAAAGGGACAGGAAGGACATGATCAACCTGTGACATCTGAGATGGGATAGAATTAAAGGGTTGTTGATCAAGAAAAGTGACATCAGCGGAAACTAAGTAACGCTTAAGGTCGGGAGAATAACAACGATAACCCTTTTGAAGACGAGAATAACCAAGAAAGATACACTGAAAGGCTTTGGATGTTAACTTATCCTTACCAGGAGTGAGATCATGAACAAAACAAGTACAACCAAAGACATGTGGAGTTAGAGGATAAAGAGGAACATCTGGAAGCAATAGATTATGAGGAATGTCATTGTGGAGCACAGATGAAGGCAAGCGATTGATGAGAAAACAAGAGATGAGTACAGCATCTGCCCAGAAGTGAAGGGGAACCTGCATATGAATAAGAAGGGTACGGGCAGTTTCAATGAGATGTCTGTTTTTACGTTCAGCCACCCCATTTTGTTGTGGAGTGTGAGGACAAGTAGTTTGATGTAAAGTACCTTGTGTGGCCAAGAAATTAGAAAAATCAATAGAAACATATTCCTTAGCATTATCACTACGTAGAATACGAATAGAAACACCAAATTGAGTATGGATCTCAGTAGAAAACTTTTTATAAATGGAAAATAGCTCGGAACAATTTTTCATTAAATAGGTCCAAGTGCAACGGGAAAAATCATCAATAAAGGTAACGAAATACCGAAAACCTAAGACAGACAAGGTACGACTTGGACCCCAAATATCTGAATGAACAAGAGAGAAAGGGGCATCAGCTCGTTTATTGACTCGACTGGCAAAAGAGGAGCGTGTATGCTTCCCTTGTTGACATGACACACAATCTAAAGACTGAAGACCGGACAAAAGAGGAACCATTTTCTGCAACTTTGAAAGACTTGGATGACCAAGGAGACTGTGGATAAGTTGTGGAGATTCTGTGAGAGAGCATGCTACTGAAGGACGAGGCACATCCAGATAATAAAGCCCTCGTGACTCACGACCCACTCCAATCATTTTCCCCGTACCCGGATCCTGCACAGAAACAGAATGGTTAGAGAAAGTAATGGTGCAAGTGAGGGAGTGCATCAACTTACTAATAGAAATTAAGTTATAAGGGATGCCAGGAATGTAATAGACAGATGTCAGGGCCAAGGTAGAGGTCGGACGAGCTTGTCCAATCCCACGAACTGGGGCTTTGGTTCCATCCGCAAGGGTAAAAGACGGTAAATGATCAGAATAAGTAAGAGATGTAAAGAGTTCCTTATTACCACAGAGATGATCGGTAGCACCGGAGTCAAATATCCAAGTGCCAAGTGATGTAGAATGAGAAACACAAGCAACAGGATTACCAGTATAAGGCTGAGACTGAGGAGAAGCCTTCCTGAGAGGGGTTTGGAGTGCAGCATAGTCTGAACCTGAACCAAATGATGCATTGTCTGACTGAGCTATATTTGCAACAATAGAAGGAGAGTTAACCTCCGAGAGATCAGGAGATGCTGCTGCCATTTAAAGATAAAATATAAAAGCCTTAAACGAAGGCAAACGATATCCAATCAAGAAGAACCACGCGTCTAAGGTCAGACCCACAGAGAAACAATCACAGATCCAGAAAGGGGAGGAGAAGGCGAGCTTCTCTGTCCAAGACCGGCCGGAAAAAGCCGCCGGAATAGTGCTCACGCGCCGGCAGAAGGTGGCGCGTGAAGCCCACGCGCAGAGAAGACAGGTGGCGCGTGACGGCGCGTGGGAAATGCGTTGCTGACCGGACCACCACAGACCTGGTCGCCAGGAAGAGAGGGTCCTGATCGCGTGAAGTTTGGTCGGAAAAGTCGCCGGAAAAAGTCTCCGGTTGCCTGAACAGTGATTCTGACGGCGGGCGGTGGTTCCGGTGGCCGTCGGAGGTGCTGACACGTTTGGAAAAATCACTCAGAGGCTGTTTACAGCCCTAGAAGGCTTGCCGGAAGGACGCACGGCAAGAAAGAGGACTCCTAAGCAGTGGGCTTAGGTTTTAAAGCAAAAAAAACAAGGTTTCTAAGCGGAAGCGAGGGTTCCCAGAACGAAAGAGCTCTGATACCAACTTGAATATAAAATAATAGAAGAATAATATGTTGTGTATTGATCTGTGTCAAGGAGTTACAATATATAGAGACCCTAATGGGCTTAAGTGTAAGGCCCAAACCTAATCCAAACCTAATCCTAATACAGTCAGACTATTTACGGATAAGACAGAATCCAATCATATCTAATCAAATCTAATCATATCATATCTAATATTCTAACAGTCTGCAATACTTTCTGAACTGTGTACTTAGGTTGGTCTACAAGGCTAGCATCTCCACAAGTAATCCATCTCATTCTGTATATTTTGTTGAGATCGAACATATAGTATGTATAACAGGGCGAACTACACATTTATTACTTAAACAGAGACATTGTCAACAGGTATCAACACATAGAAGACCAGTGCCCTCCTTACCCAAACAAAAGGCGCAAATCTTTTGTACATTAGATATAATGAAGTTGAAAATTTTATAATTCTTGCGTTCCGCTGATAAAAACAAAATTGGTTTTAGTTTCATCAAATGTTGCACAAAGAAAAACAAAAAAAGGCTTTATTTCATCCCCCTAAGACAGTTTGGTCTTAAGCCCGAATCTCTGAGTGAATCAAGCAAAATTATGTCCTTACTGTCCCTCATGCGCTGCATTGACCACCTCATTGGAGTGTTCAGTTCCTGCAGTATTATAGGAAGTGTTGGAATTGCCATCATTCTGCACAGAAGTTAAACAAAAGTGGAGTTGTCAAAGCAATGTAAATAGCCCACTAGAAGCTAAATATATCCCAAAACTTGAGCACACCTCCAAATTCCAATGCTTCCCTGCTCCTTTCTGTTTTTATTTGTAAGAGGTCAGGGAGGGTTCCCCCCCCCCCCCCCCCCCCCCCTATGGGGGGTGTTGTTGTAAATAACTGTTAGTGAATAAGTCTTTGGGAACATAGCCCTTTCAACATGTTGTACTTTCATCGTAAACTATACTTTAAAATTTGTGCTAGCAAATAAATAAATTAACAATAATATATTGTAAGAGATCAACTTGACCTATCCCCACCTCTTCATAGAACTAACCAAAAAACAAAGCAGCAAGAAAACAGGGGTATACTGCCTAGTGAAAACTATCACTTGGGGATAAACTCATTTATTGTCCAACTATATTCAAAACTCTAGTAATTGATAATGCATTCAAACAGAGCATCTAATCAATTCTTCCATTTGAATTGATTTATTTCAATCTCCTGCCTCATACGATTCTTTAAAATTTACATATAGGTGACAGATCTAAAATTTAGAGAGAGAACCATCCTCACAAATGAAGTAATGAACTATAGTCCGATATATTGGCGACTATTACTATATAATGATCCCTGTCATTTCTTTTAAAGGTTTTGAATAAAATATATAAAGCATCTTTTTAGTGAGAATTACTACCTTTTAAGACAAACAAATACCAAACATCATCAACAGTAGCAACATCATTAACAAGATACCAAAAAGCTGAACTCAAATTATAGTTCAATCTTTAGCACAAATCACGAGAATAGTATTTTAAGAGGCTGGAAAATTAGATAAAGCAAATCATCGTACCTGTTTAGTGAGACCATGAGCTGACATAACTTCATAAAGCTTGCGCATAAGCATTTCTTCTTCTACCTGGCAACCAGAACTCCAAAAATTAGGGGATTCAAGATTTTGTAGGTATCACATAAATTTACGTGTTCAGCATAAAGCTCATCAAAGAAAAGTTTGACTCTAGTTAATTATTTCTTGAATATTAACACACAAATAAACCAAAACTATCCTGTACACATGACAGTCAACAACATAAAAAGGAGGAACAAATTATACTGTGACATAGACAGGGTGCCAAATCACAATATTCAAGAGTATGAGCCAGCCTAAAATTAGAGCTACAAAACACCCAATTTTTGAAGGTTTTCCTCTCTGCCTCCATTGAATGAACATGTTAGTAATTAAGGCAACTGAAAGATCGCAAATGAAATCATAATCATATGTGGCTTCCCAGAAAACTGCCTAAAATGTGTTATAAACATATCAAGCAGAAGATAAATCAGACAATTGGTTGATAAGTCGATAGGCAAGAATATTTTGCTGCAAGATATTGAAATCAAATGGTCAAGATTCATGGAATAATGATTTTAGCATCAGAGATTAACATCACATTGCAAAGACAAAGGAGACATCTACATTGTGATATAAGTATCTCATGCAGAAGATAAATCAGACAAAGAGATTATAAGTCAGTAGGTATGAGGCAATGATCACATTCCAAGGACAAATCATACTTATTAATATCGGATACCGGCGTGTAGCGTCTGACCCTCCAAATTGCTATAGCGCTATAGAGGGTAGCACTACAACGCTATGTGCAACATAATTTGATCTACCCACTATAAAACTATTGTAAACTCATGATTTGGGGTGGGTTTATAATTCAATGAGCAATGATTTCAAAGCATATTATTATTTAATACATATAAAAGTATGGATAATTAATTTTAAAATAAAAAAATTTTGAATTATAAAACATACATAATTATTTTCAAAATATTTAAATTAAAATTTTAAAATAAGAGAAATTGAGGATAACATATTTTATTTGTTCCTTGATTAGGCTAGCTTCAATACAAAAGTAACACAAAGCTACATGGGCCACATCTTCAGAAGCCCAACATTTGTTTTTAATTTTTTTTAAATACTTAATATTTCTTTTTCTATTCAGATTAAAAAAAAAAAAAAAGCGACCTTCTCCTTTCTCCATGTGTTATCTGAAAACCAAGAGTAGCAGTTGCAGTTACCATCTCTAAAAAATCCATCGATAGGGTAAATCTTTTCTTCTTCCCCAAAAAGCCCGACAATCCATCTTTTTGCAGAAACTACTATAGCGCCGCTATTCAGCCGCAATAGCCGCTACCCTCATCTGACCGTCGCGCCGTGGACTGTGGCAGCCGGTCGCCACACCGCGTCGCAACCCCACTATAGCACGCTAAAGCGGCGCTATTCACAAGTATGGGACAAATTAGTTTTTTCTCTTAAAAGCATCAGTCACATTTCGTATTGTCATATTTAGAAAAACCAGAGAATTGATTTTTCCTATATTGGTCTGACAATAAAGCAAGTATAAGGCTAATATACATAGCAAGTGGTGTAAGACTACAAACCCAAAAAGTCAAGTAAAGGATTATGTAGCTAGGGCAAAATATAACAACCTGAAGTTTTTCCAATTCATGCAACATTGTTTTATGTGCTTCCACAAGGACCTCATTCTGCTTGTCCATATGCCTGTTCACCAGAATCATAGAAATAGAATCAATTCAAAAAAAAATTCAAAAGAAAAAGAAGCAGCACCTAAATCACATTATGAAAAGCACAAGAAGTACAAGGGACATGTACTTCAATAACTCTCCAGAGTATCTTGGGTTATCTGTTCCAGGTTCCATTCTGATACAATAATTGAAGATCAAATCTGAAAACAACCGCACACATTCTCAGGTCTTCTGTAAATCCAAAAGTCAAAAGGATATGATGGAACTGTGTATAATCAAAGTGAAAATCTGATTGCACATTCAAAATAAGTTGACAAATTCAACGGAAGATAAACCCAAAATCCTAGATAGCGAGTTAAAGACGAGTATGCATTAGGAATAAAAAATAAAATAAAATCGAACTGGGTGTATCAAAGATTAAACAAAATTTTAAATTTCAATGGCAGAAAAGAAGAACCAAAATTTTAGGAGCGAAGCGAATTGGTGACAAGAATTGAAGTGGGCATGTCAAGAAAAACAAAAATATAACTACAGATAAGGAAAAATGACAAGTGACTCAAGGGAAAGCTTTTACCTTTGTTGCTGCTCCGATCGCGTTATAGGTTAATCGTTTCACTCCCTGAACCTCACGCCCTAGACTAGGTTTTATGTTTATTAGACTACTTGATCAACGAGTTGCTGTGAGCATTTTGATTTACTATCTTTTGCAATTTTATTGTTCAATATAAGAAGAAAAAAACGCTTATTTGTAATTTACCCTTTTTTATAAAGTTTCTGAAAAATATCACTCTCCTTACACTTAAGATAATTTATTTCTTTCATTTCCTTTCATTTTGCTTTTTGCACCCTCATCCTTTTTTTTTTTTTTAATGATAGGATCCATCCATTTTCTTTCTATAACATATCTTATTATGTGAAATGAGAATAATAAAGCCCAAAGTTTTTTTATTTTATTTATCTTTTCCTTTACAAAAGCATTGCAAAGGTATTTTATTAAATGATATATATTTTTTTGTTTACTAACTTCAATTTATAACAGTAACTAAATAAGTTCTTTACCTGTAAACTTCTTGAGCTTGATTTTAAGGATACACAAATTTCCTTTAAGCATTTGAATTCAATCAATTGGCTTACAAGCAATGTTAAAAAGGCGATCCGAAAATCAATAAATCGGTCATATGACTAGTCCAATTTTCATGTTGGATTGGCTAAGTAACAAAAGTGACACGACCCAACTCATTTTTGAGAAAACTGATGATCCAATCAGTTCAATCGATGACCCAACTCGGTTCATAAAAAACAAAATTCCAATTTTTTTTCATAAAGTGTTACAAAATATTAATGGATAACATTTTTGTATTATGAAACGGTAATTCAAAATTTGAAAATCGTTGGCATTTATCTCCGAATTTATGATTATGTAACCACCACATAATAATGTATTGAATTGTACTTATTTCTTTGTTCATGAATAGTCTTATATAAGGATATGACTTCTATGTAAATGCAATGATAAATAAGAATTAGATTCTACCCTAATTATGTGTCTCTTTTCTCTTACTTCCTCCCATCTTTATTAGCAATTTATAACTTAAACAATATTATTTTTTTAAATTCACAAATGGCTTGTTTTGAGTGATTTATTATTTATTGACTTACATATCTTATATACCTACAACACTAATAATCTAATATTATCTTGGTTATCCACTATACAAAATTTTTTGATTTAATTTATATATCTAGAAATATTGTTTACTAAACCTGAAGTATCAATATTACAAACATATTTATTTGACACTCTTGGGATGAAATTTTCATCGACCCCTCCCAGCAAAACTATTTCAAAAAAAAAAAAAAAAAACCAACTTGTTCTGTGGGGGTGGGACTCAAACCTGCCGGGCCCCCAACAGAACCAAAAGACCCCCAACAACTCAATACCAAATTGGGATATTGAGGGGCCATAAACTCCAAATGGATCAAAAAGCCCCCCACACACACACATGATCCACGCAAACATAACCTATTCACGTGAAAAATCACACAACCTCGTATCATTATAGGGCTCAAAGTGCTTGGAAATGATTATAACATCATATTTTTCGTGCTTAACAAATTTTTCTTCAATCTATAAATATTGGATCACATCCCCATCACTTTTTGCCAAATTCTTTCTTCACTATTATAATCGAGCCCGCTTCCCCTTGCAATAATATAGTGACTCTTCAGAGGCTTAATCTATAGTATCACCTCTTCAATCATTGTCAAATTTGAGATACTTCACCCAAAGTGAAGAAACATCCTTCAATACACCTTTTCTGACTAGTTCAGATTCAATAGCTAAAGATTACCAGACATTTCATGAGCCTTGGAGCATACTTCAAATTTAACTTGTGGGCTACAGCCTACAATTAGTGAATATGTGTCTGGCTTATAATAAACGAAACAATCATAGGTTAATATACGTAGGAAAGCAGAGAGACTTCGACAAACAGAATTGTTTACTCTGAATGACATAATTATAAATCACAGATGATATACCTTCGGTTAAGCAAAAAGCCAGCCTAGGCTGGCACACGAATTTGAGGTAATTTTTTGGACTATTGATTTGAAGATGGGAAAATCAAATTACTTCACGCACGTAAAACATTGATCAAACAGGAGTTTGATGTTTGAAGTCAGTTTGGTATGCAAAATTTAGGTGGAAATGTAGGTAAAAAAGGGAAGTAAAGGATTGGTTCATTATTTTATTTGCTATAAAGTATTTGAGTGTTAAGGATTGTACTCAATTGCTCATCTCTTATTTGGTATACATTTGTAGATGGAAAGGAAAGAATTTAAAAGGATAACACTTCTTCATGCTCACCATTTTTCATCTCTTCTCTTTCTTTCCTACAGGAAAATTAAAAAAGAAAAAAAAGGAGCTTGGTGTTATAAAATTTCATCTCTTCTCTTTCTTTACCAATTTTGACAACTTAATCACAACAATGGAAATGGTAATTTGGCTTTATTAGGGAAGCCTGGCCTCACAACATATTGAATACAAAATCAAAGACAAATCAAGGCTCCCCTTAATTTCCTAGCATAACTTAACATGATGATAAAAATCCATTTTATATAGAACAGACCACAACAATTCAAAAGATCAACCTTTTAATTACAACAGACCACAATAGTTGCTAATGCTATAAAAGTCACGCAAAACAGATCATAAAAGTCCATGAACATAATATTTCAGCATTAAATCACAATTCACAAGTCCAAGTTTCAGGGATTCATGTTACTATAACACAAACTCACTCCTACAGAGAAACAAAATACTTGAGTAGAGATAATTCAACCTAATGCAAAAAGGTGGCGTAAATGAAAGCTTACAGTTTTACCAATCACAGCACCCCACCCTTCATTAAAGGAAATTCACCTATGATTCAATGTAATAGTTATGTGGGACCAAATAAGCTTCAAGTGACAAGAAAAGCATTACCAGCCTAACAATTACGCAGGGTAATTTGATTTGGATCATTATAAATTTTGGCCGTTAAGAAGGCAAATGTCTTTCTTACTACACCTAGCTATGTGTTCCAAAAGGTTAAAGCCTAAATAGATCTTGACTTTATTTTTTCAAGGAAAGAAATATTCTTGGTGACCAGAAGTAGCCTTAGGCCTATATAAATTGAAAGGCTGTAAGAAGATAAAGTAAAAAAGAAAGAAAAGATGGTTATCAAATCCTATTTAAAGGTTGTAAGAGTTTAACATCGATCCTATAGTTTCTCATGGCCATCATCATTTAAAGTTACTTGTTCGTACTCAGATTTACTCAAGCTACACTAAGAAAAAGGTTGACTTGGTTCTCAATCCCAAGTTCCACGAATAAATCTTTGGTGCTAATGTTGCACCAAGATTCAGTGCATCTCATCAATGAGAGCATTACACATCATAGGAGAGAGAAAAAATTTGTCAGAGGAAATAAAATTTTAGCTGACATGTAATATTTTTATTGGTGGGATGTACTGAATCTTTGGTGCTACAGTAGCACCAAAGATTTGTTCAAGTTCCACACATCAATTCCCAAATTTCACTACACCATATATTAACTTTCCTTTCAAACGTAGTTTCTGCTATATATGTTATCTCTAACTTATGACACAAGCTTCTGAAACATGAAGGTTTCATTAACAGGTTCAAATAGAAATGCTCTTGTCAATGATAAAGAAAGCTTTAATATATTAGAGTAGCAAGCTAACGGTAGCAGCCAATCATAAGCACATTGGTAGATATACTCAGAGATTATCCTTGTGACCTTGAATATGGTGGCGCAAGATGTAACACCTCGTGTATACCTAGTTTGTTATCATGTTATCGTATTAAGCTGCGCTTAATCAAAAATGCGGAATAAATTTTTTCTTTTCAATTATGACGCCATTATCAATTACCAAGTTGATTACTTAATCCTTTTTCAAAACATTGCATGTATGTAAATTGCAAATAGACAGCTAAATACACTGAATAACCTCATTGTATAAGTAAGTGAGTATCTAAGTCACGGAACTACAACACGTAGTCCGGACCATAATCCTGATACATTATACAACTCGAATCTAAATGAAACATAATCAATCAGTGTGGCATGGACAACCCCCATGCTCACCAAATAAGGCAACAAGGCCCAACAGAGTCTAAACATCAACAACATGATAATAATATAAAGCATGTCAGCATCCAAGCATATCATCATAAGGCATAAATCTCAACTCAGCTCCGGCCTCCTGCCGCCCGAGTTACCTGAACCTGAAATATGTGCCCCAAATGTGGGGTGAGATCTCTAAACAGAAATCTCAGTAAGGGAAGGGGTCCTCAAGGATTTCTCCACCCCAAGCTCACTTACATGTGCAATATAAGTTCAAAAGTAGTAATATAACATAAGTTTTAAAACTAGTGCAATGCAGCAGAATAATCATGTCATGTGTGTCAACTATTCTACTACTAGCCAGAGAAATGCAGGATTTACATACGTCTATTATATACATTCAGTGCAAGACGCCACTTGCACCACCCACAGAATCACCCTATGGTATGTCTCCTACATACACAGGCTTGCCGTCTAGGTGGAACAACACATGCATATCATAAGGCACTTGCACATAACAGTTCAACAACATTTCAAAATCAATACATGAAAACACATCATGCATATAAACCATCCCCACATAGGGTATGGTGGAAACAACAATGGTTAAATCGAGGATACGAAAGCTTACCTCGCAGCTAACTATACAATCGAGAGTCCAACCAAGTCCAAGGTCCACAAACAGCACTCTCACAGTCTGTTTATACCAACAATCATATCAACAATCGTAATTCACAAGCATATGACATAACGACAACGTTTTCCTTTTACGTTTCAAGTCTTTAGGCTTCTCACAAAGTCATAAGCCCTTAATCACTTTGATTCTGACTTAGATAATCATTACAGGGGTTTAACTTAACCAATCTAGGATCCACAAACCCATAATACAGTTCTGTCAGAACAGAACAGACACGGTCTCAAAATTCCCAGAATATCCGGATATTTGTCGGGGACATATCCGGATATCCATATCCGGATGTCATATTTGGATATCCATATCCGGATATCCATATCAAGATATCACAAGTCCCATATCCGGATATTTCGCGATAGAATGCAGATTCTGCATTTCGCGAAGATATCACTT